TTTACAATTCTATTTCATGAAGTAATATTATCTTAATACATAATTTAAGCGAAATTGTAAATCGAACGATTTAAAACAATTCATTGGTTCAGCTGTGCTGCTGTTATCCAGTTAGTTAACTGCAAATGCATTTATATGTAAAACGAGTCTTCATTTTCTAAATAGACTCAACACCTTTTCGATGGTTTGAATTAATACATTTAATCTTATTAAAAATGTATTACTTAACTTTCTTAATAAAATATTCAATTAATTTGGTCGACTTATATCAAGTAATATTTTTTTTTAAATAAATTCTTATTTATTTACAAATTAAATAGTAACCGATATACCACATGGCAATGCATCGTAATTTTCTGATGAATACTACTTACATTTACTCATAAAAATGAAATATTAATTAAAAAACCTTTTTCATATCTAATTTATATAGGTTACTTAATTAATTGTTCTTATGGGAAATTGTTAGTACGCATTTATTCTTCTCCCCGGCATCTATGTTCATTCTAACTTAAGAACACAATATGTTTCTTGTACCATAATTCTAATATATTTCTGTAGACTAAAAGATTCTTGTATACCTTAAATACCTTTAGTAGATCCTAGGCATTATACAGTGTGGCGCTGACTGTTGTAAAAATGTTTCTAATTCGACACGCTAAATTTAAATGAGTGTAACGCTTAATCAGAAATTAGGGCTTCCATTACCGGTAAACGGTTAACCAGATTTACCGGCCGATGTTATTACTGGTAAATGTTGACAACAAATTCCGATAATTTGAAATTTGAATAAAAATGAAAAAAAAAAAACAAATGACTGAAGAAGGTGTAAATTCTTATTCTTTTGCAAATACAATGTATATCAAAATTCGAAGAAGTCTGAGTGATAATAATGTCCGTAACCTTTTCTCACCCACGACACACCAAAGTTCTTCCTAGAATTCCACGGCACATCAAATTTTAATATATATGGATATTAATTTGATACACAAATTTCACAATAAATTTTCATTTTTTATTTGATGAGTATACATACATAACAACTATACTATATTTAATTTTGTGTAATCTTAATAATTATTATAAAATAATGATTAATTAATGTGATACCTGCGCATGTTTCAATGAACACAATTGGTCTATATTTGGCTCGATATTTGACAGAGGAACACGAAGTTTTTGGTCAAGACTTTTTAAGCATGAACACTTATCATTTTTAGTTAATAGAAGAGTTGAAAAACTTTGCTCACATGAATATGTAGTCGAAAATAGAAATAGTGTTGGGATGGCGTTGTCGGAAATGCAAGGATATTTTTTAAACAGAAATCCAGAAAACATCTAATGGAACTTCGTCGAAGTGAAGTTTTGACGTACCGTCATTACTAAATATTAGAAATTCCTCTCGAATTTGCAGAGACAGTGCTTTCGTAGAATTTATTGCATAGGTTACAAAAGAATTTCAAATCCAATCGTATTGTTCCATAAATAGTGATCAAATTTCTGCTGAAACATTAAATTGTTGTGTCCAACCATTATTATTGTAATTGTTATTATTAGTATAGTGTATTAACGAACTAGAGACATCCAAAACGTCTCTTAGTCGCATTGTTATATAAACATTAGCATCTATCGTAATTCAAGTTCGATACACTTTAATATAAACAAAGGGGACCAAGCGTAAACATTCCCATCGATACACCTATACCTTTATACAGATTTCAAGTCCTTATTATAAACACCAGACAATATTCCACTGTGTCCAGAATTCCATCCCTGGGACACGACAAAATGTTGTTGGGCCATTCTTCAAATCCACAATTATTTGCTTGTTTTCCATCCATTGTACTATGGTAGGTCCTTTAGTACATTTCTAAACATCATTTTTGCAACTCTTCCTGCCAAAGTTCGAGTTTTTTTTAACCCGTATAATTTGTCGTAGCACGTCACTATATTCTTATTCCGACCTTGCATTTATTTATTAATTCATTCAGATACTCGAATATATAAGTCATGTATGCAAGTTTGATTATCCAGTATCGAGGTGCAGGTATAGTTCGGGCATATTTTGATCTACAATACACAAACAATCTAGTCAAGACTTTGCATCGGGACAACCAACGAACTTCACAGTATTGCAAACATTCGCTAATTTAGGGTTCTAGATTTAATTATGTTTATGATGTTAATGCATTTATTCATCATGTTCAAAAGTTCCTCTGGCAAATTCTTGACCATCGATGTAATTGTGTAAATAATATTGTTTTTTTTTTGTTTTAGACAAGAGACAAAATCTTGTTTAATAACCGTCATTGCCAGTGCAAGCATGCACTGCTGCTTACTCCATTGAATATTATATATTTTTAAATTTAATTAATATTTGAATTCAAATATTTTTTTTAGTTAAAAATGATGAAGGATGTATCATTTGTTGAAGTGCGCAAAGTTATTATGAGTCCATTTTAAGATTTGAGACAATTTGATTTACAAGAAATAATTATTTTTGTTCGCTTAGTTGGCGTTAATACATTTTTTTCTGAAAAAAACAAAAGTTGTTTCTCAATTTGTTAAAGTCTAACGATATTTCATGTTACTTGAAATTGGACAAGAATGGATAGGATAAAATGCAAGATTAGTGATGTAATGTTGGTAGAAATTCCACCACCAACACTGCAAAAAATGGTTTTGCCATTCTCTTCGGATTTCGACGTCAACTCAGCCTATGCAAATTTTCCAGGAATGCCAAAATGCATATGGAGTGAATGCATCAGCCATTTCCAAGTGGTTTCGAAGATTCCAAACTGGGCATGTTTCTGTTGAGGACGAATCTCGTGATGGTCGCCCGAAGACTTTCACCGACAACACAAATGTAGCCCTGGTGAAGACAAACAATGACGAAATCCAAGAGTGATACAGGAAATGGTAGATGATGAACTGGGCTTGAATGACATGGCTTTGTCTCAAATATTAAATCATCACTTTGACTGCACGAAGAAATTTTCTAGATGGGTTTCAGGATTTTTTAATGACCACCAAATAAAGACGTGTTCGTTTTGGCAAATATTTCTTATAAAATTTTGAAATTGGAGATTATAGCACTTTTAGTAAAATCGTAACAGGTAATGAATCTTGATTCTATAAGTTTAACCTGGAAACCAAGCAGCAGTTCATGGTACGGAGCTCAGAAGGTGCAAATCCTCCCAGTCATAGCATAACAACAAAAATCTGCTACAAAAGTGAAGAGTCGTTTTACTCTGCCAGGGTAATAGTGCTATCTCACTCGAAACTGGTCAGTGGGTAAATGCTAAGTAGTACATAGCTTACTACAAGTTTTCAAACATTTGTTGGGAAACCAGAAAAAAGGGGAACTTCATCGCTACTTTTACATTACGATCATGCGCCCACTCACACTACTGAAATAACCAACAACATTCTTGCGCTCTCTGGTTTCAATGAAATTCGCCCATTACCTTATTCTACCAACCTAGTGCCTTGTGATTTCTGGATGTTTCCGAAAATTTAAAAAAAAATGAGGGGAAGAGTCTTCAGTTAAAGACGAACTTGAAAAGCTTAAAAAAAACGATTTTGAGGAATGTTTTGAAAGTTGCCTCTACCGACTTAAGAAATGTATTAAAATAAATGGAAATTATGTTGAGAAATTACAAAAGGATGAAAATTAAGTATATTAAATAAAATGTTTTTTTTTTTCGCCAACTAAGCGAACTTTTGTTAGACCCCCCACGTATATGTTGAATTTAGTTTTTCCTAGTTTAATCATTGTTAATATGTAATATAAATAAATACAAATGGACATTGACTTCAGCTTTTCTGCCCAATATGATTTTAAGATTTCCAATTTTAATCAAAACTATTGCCTCTTTTTTATTTTCACACTGATTTTTTTTAGTTTTCTTGACCATAGATCTTTCTTACTAATATTAAATATTATTCGACTTTTAAATAGTAAATAAAAAGACACTTAATTAGTAAAAACCAAGCAATAGTCTTCCTCCGCTAAATACATTGGGCGTTCCGCATGTTCATCCATTATGGTATGTACATTTATAAATCCTTTTTCATCTAATCCTTGAAGTTACTTCTTTATTCTTTCATAATATGCACCCCTACCTCAAGTAATATATATTATATACTATACTATATATATACTATATTGCGCTACACTTTCCTCAATAACACAAAACCTATTACTTGCGCCATAGGCAATTTTAGGTTTATTTTTAAACATTTATATAATTACATACTTCTATTTTAACATATTATATATACGTATTTTAATTTTCTAATTATTTAGATATAAACGTTTAATTAATTTAACGTATTTCAAAAAAAACTTCTTTATATTTTGTTATGAATCGTTAGGTATATAATATTTAGATAAATTAATTCTCTTTAAGCTTTTGATTTATCTTTAGAAACGGAATTGTTTGAGAACTAGATTTTTTTCATGTCCTGAGATACGAACTCAAACAACGTAGTCAATGTATTATCATTTGGTTTTGATTAATTCAGAAGTAATCATTTTATTTGTCAGTGGTTGCCTACAATATACATGGACCCGATAAGACTTTCGTGTAGCCAATCCTGCTTTTTGATTTATATGAAATCGCTAAGAGGGGGGTCTAAAGTCGCTAGTTAATGAATTCGCCACCTTTACAACAACGCCAATCTGACTAAAATACCGATATCATCAAATTGTTTTTATGTTATTTAAAAAAAAACACTAACAGAAACTTGACCTAGACCACCGGATTTGGAAATATCCATATAACAAAATTTTTAAACATGAAACCTTAGGGCAACTTCACC